AGGGATGCTCCAGCTCCCCAGGACCCCTGGAAGGCTGGAGCCAACCTCCAGAGCTGGCTTTCCACCTAGGCTGAGAGAAGTAAGGAAGGGGGGACCCAGCACCTGGATCATTGCCCCCCTTTGGCACAGCAGGTACCCCAGCTCAGCTCATCCCCTCCTCAGAGAGGAGCAGCAGCACCTTGTGCCAGCCAGGGGGATCCTCCCCAGTCCCAGCTGGGATGAGGACACGGGGCTCTGGTCCATCCCTGCTCCAGCAAAGGCTGCAGGACATCACAGGGAGCCCTGGGGACCTGCAGTGCAGGGCTCCCTTCCTGGCAGGGCAGCCTCTTTCTCTCACATGGCTGCAGAGGAAAGAAGGAAGGACACAGGGGCAGGGAGAAGGAACTATTTGGGAATGCAGGAGTCCTAGAAATGTGACATTTTAAGACCTAGGTCTGTTCTGAGTCATCAGAAACAGTCTGGGCAGGGAAGGTCTCTGCCTTCAGGTCGAGCAGGTTCCTTCCTTTGGGGCATTTTTAAAGGGCAAACTTTGCAGGACTCTCTCACCTGTGGATCCATTCCTTGCCAACCCCCGCAGCAGCCTCTGCTCCCCAAATCCGTGGGGAAGCCGAGATTTGGCCACTGGGAAGAGCCCCATCCCCTCCTAGGTGAGCCCCTGGAGGCACGAGGCTGCTCCCAGGCACTGCTGCCACACAGACACGAGCCTGCAGGGAAAGGAACTCCGTGCCATTTGTCACAACAGAAAGCTACCGAGGGCAGCAGCACAGAGCAAGGAATTGTTCCCAGGTCACAGCTTTCTCTGCAGAGCTCGTGGCTGATCCTCCTCACCAGGTCCCAAACTAGAGAAGGGAAGGTTCCCAGGTTAGTCCTGGTGCTGTTGTGCTGCTCCTGCAAGTGATAATCCTGCTTTTATCCCGTGTTCCCCTCACAGGAGCCATACAGGATGCTGCACTCCCAGTGACTAACAAATTAATTGGGTTTAAGATGTGTAAAATTTAAAAACTGCCGTGGGAGGAAAGAACAGGAACCTTTTCCCTAAAATAATACCCCGAGTGCCCATTTGCTGTGTGTGCTGTGTGTTCATGCATTTCTTCTCCTCACAGGGCGGTGGGTGTGCAGAAATGAGACCTTCCTGTTCTCTTCTTTGCATCTTGTTAATGCTGTGAGCCTCTTCTGTAACAGCAGCACCTCTGGCTCTTGCACCACTTTTGCTGGGGAGCCTCCGAGCTCCTCTCCCACCCTCAGACCCACACAGGGCCACTCCACACTCCCCCCTCGGGACGCAGCAGCGTTTTCCCTCCACCCTGTTAGAAAACCAGCTTCGAATTCCACTGCTGGTTTGCAAATCCCAGCTGAGACCCACGGGCTGGAGGGAGCAGTGTCTGTTTTTGCGAGGTCCCAGCTCCCTGAGGGGAGGAGGTGGGAGCAGGAGAGGTGCTGACCCTGTGCCAGATGGGCACAGGGCAGTGCCAGGCCAAACCCACACCTCATCACAGCAGCCTGTTAACCAGCCCCAGCAGCAATCCCACCGGGCTGCAGCCCTGGTGTGGCCATGGAAGGATGGGGAGACACATCCCAGTGCTGGAGGCAGCCAGGACAGCTGGAGCCTCGTCTGCCTGGGGAGCTCAGCAGGGCCTCCTCGGGGGGATTTGCTGAGATGATGCCCGGAGTTTTCTCGTGCTCTTTGGGAAGTGGGACGAGAGGGAACAGTTTAGGTTCCAAAAACACGCTCAAGGAATGTGCCTGGCCATGGGATTGTGGATCCATCCACTGCTGTTTAATGAGCTCCCCCTGGGAGCAGCACCAAGACCCTGCTTGGGAGCTGTGTGGGGCAGGGGCCTCCACCTCCCACTCCGGGCAGCAGGGAAGGACAAGGCACCACTGCACCGAAAACACAGCCCTACTTCGGCTCCAAAAACATTCTGGCACAACTCACTGACTTGGATTTTATCTGCAAACGTTTTCAGCCTGATACCACTGGGAATCCTGATTTTTTCCGAGACTTACCAACAGGAAATCCTGGGGCTGGAGGGCTCAGCTGTAATGAACTTATTGTGTACTCAAGCACTGAACGTCGATTTGGATTACAATGTCAGAAATAAGCACTGAGAGAAGGCAACTGTCCCCTGGGGTCACCTGTCAGGAACTCCCTGAGACTGCCCAGATATGGACCTGAGTTATATTTGTCCCTGTGCAAATGTAACAGCTAAGACTGAACAAACCTACTGTGCCTTGGAGACGAGCCCCCTCATCCTCTCCCAGAGCCTTTTCCCACTTTTCACAGGGATTCCTTGGCTGGGGATGCTCCATCAGAGGCTGCCCAAAGAGCTCAGGGGCATTGGGAGCCTAATTCCCCGTTAGTGCACATCTAAACCAGGGCCACTTGGGTCAATCTGGGAGCCCAGAGCCCCAGGCACAGCCGGGATTCCCACCCTCCCAGGCACACACAGGTGAAGACAAGATCTTGCTCCCTGGGCTGAAGGCACCCAGGAATTAATCTGGAGTGTGGGATGCCAGGGGAGAGGAGCACAGGGGGAAGAGGAACAACACACACCTTGCTCTGCAGGCACGTGGCTCATCCACCCTCTGCTCTCCACAGCCTGGCTGCAGACAGGAGCAGGGAGGCTGCACTGGAAAGCTGGAGACCTCCATTCGTTTCTCACGCCCCACCCTGAGCACTCTGATAAAAATGTGCAGCAGGAACGTGGCTGAATGTGCTTGAACTCCACTGGGAACTGAGTGAGAAGATCCTGCAGCATCATGAACAAGAGTCTTTAGCTCCAAGTTAATGCTCTGAACACTCACAGAACCATTAAGGCTGGAAAAGCCCTCCAGGCCCATCAAGTCCAACCATTCCCCAGCACTGCCAAGGCCACCACCCACCCATGTCCCCCAGTGCCACATCCACAGGGCTTTTAAACCCCTCCAGGGATGGGGACTCTCCCACTGCCCTGGGCAGCTGTGCCAGGGCTGGACAACCCCTTTGGGGAAGGTTTATCTAGATCAGATCCACTCTCTGCAGCAGCATCTCCAGCTACATTTCAAGGCAAATAACTTCCATCTTATTCTTTCCATTCCTTACTCTTCCCTTTCATGCAGCTGCATTTCAGTCACGCTGTTCAACATTGCAAAATAGCTTAAAGTGAAATTTCTGCCTCCTGTATCTTCCCACTCCAGCTCCAGGGCTGTACAGATGATGCCTTGGCTTTTTACTCTCTGCTGACAGACAGATGGGGTGGGAGAAAAGCAAAAAAAAAAAAAACCACCAAAAAAACCCTGCTGTGGGTTTGATGACCAATAAGCCAAGGACTTCTGGGCGCTGGGAAGGACACTGTGGTTGAAAGCAGGAACACAAAGGAGCCATTAAGGAAGACACACAAGTTGAGAGATACTAATCAGTTTTATTTTATAAATACAGATGAGCTTTCCCGCGATTACCAACATGGTTTTAACGTGTCATTTACTCTGGGATATTCTGGTCTTGCTTATTTGAAATACCTGGTCAAGCAAGGATAAGCCAATGCTGTTGTGCTTGCTATAAAAATATAGTGGGATCTGATCTTCCAAAACTAATATTCTCAAAAATCTCAGGAATTCCTAAGCGAGGGGAAAAGACTGCAATGAAATGCTTTCTCCACTTGAAGACATTTGCAGACATTTAACAGTGTCACAGCTGTGCAGGAACTGAAAGGCTTTTGACAGTTGAAAGCACACTGTGATCTATCATCTCACCTCCAAACCTACTGTTGGTTTCTCTCCCACTGCGCTGTTTGCAAAGTAATTTACAGGGGGCTGGATAAAAATAAACACACAAAAAAGGACAGCTAGGAGGTGGCTGCAGCCTGTCCAACCCCCCCCAGGAGCTGGGCAGCGTGGAATCAGCCCTGGGACGCTGTCCCTCCTCACACCACCTGCCACATGGGAAGTGGTACAAGAGGAAGAGAAACCCAGGGATAACTGGAGGCCTCCTGAAGGTACGTCCATGGGAAGCCCACGTGACAGATGCAGAAATCAACCCTCGTGTCAGACACATTAACCATCCCAGGGCTCAAGCAGGAACAGCAACACAACACTGGGGAGCACAACTAGACTTCATTTGGTTTGTGCAACCTGAGAAAACGAGCGAGTCACGAAAAGAGCAATGCTGCCAAGCCCCACTGCTGCCCTGCACACCCCTTCCCACACGGGGCCCAACGACACCGAGACCCCCACGGCCGCCTACGACACACGGCCACCTCACCACGGCTCTCTGGGCTGCTCTGAGGAGTCACCACCACACACAGGTCACGCCTTTCTGTCACACAGGAACACCAGGGCGCCCACAAACAGGTCTGGGCTGCCTCCAGAGCGCCGGATCCCCTCCCACAGCTGAGCCCAGGTACGGAACTTCCCCTGCAGGACATGGTGAGACACAGGCACAGGGCAGAGGATCTTCACTCATCACTACTCAGTGCTGTGCTTCAGGGTGTTCATCTCTCCAGCCAAAGCACAGCAGGAGTTTCCTATCTATCCCTTCCCAAAGATGATGGCAGTACTTCCTCTGGGGAAGCTTTTATGAGGTTGGAATAGGGGAGCTAATTCAGGGGAGAAGATACTCCTGGATGCGTCCAACTTTGCACCTGAAATCACGTTCAGTGTCTCAAATAATCAAGTTCTCTGAGTGCTCCCATCCAGCACCTCATCCTGGGACAGACCAAAGCCAACAAATGGCTGCAGAGAGGCTCGATCCACCCCCCAGCTGCAGACAGAGCTAACAGGGGAGATGTGACTATCATTCAATACAATCACTGAGGTGTCAGCTGGAAACAATGCTTATCCTAGGACAGTGTTATTATGGATATTGGTTCTCACATAGACATCTTGTTCTGACAACAGAGAGCTGAGATTATACAATTCCACATCTGAACAAGGGAATTTAGGCTGGTCTTATGTGAAGGCAGGGAAAGACTAGGTCGTGGTTCAAAAGAAAGCATAAAACCAGGGAAGAACAGAAAGCCAGGCATGATGAAGTGTTTTTTATTCTGCTATATATTTTTATATTTCAGAGCTCGCAGGTGAGCCCAGATCCTCGGGTACACAATATAGAAGGCAAGAGCCATGAAATCCAAACGGAAACAAACACCAGGAATGGCAGAGCAGCTGCAAATTGCTTTCCCATTAGTGCAGCTGAACACGTGTGGCAGTGCTGACCTGCACCTCCAGCAAAGCCCTGGAAGCTTCTTCCTTCCAAGTACAGATGGTTAAAGAAAGGATATTAATTCAGATGAATAATGCAAAGTGCCTCCTTCCTGCAGAGGGTGGAACAATTCCACACAGTTTGCCTAATTCCAAAGCGCTGACTGCACTCTCAGGGATTTTAGGAAGGTGTCTGCAGTGCCCCTGTGTCCCCAGCAGACCCCTGGGAGGGCGGCAGCTGAACCCTCTGTGTTGGCAGTGGGTCCATCAGGTCTCTACTTGTGCCCAACCCCAGTGGGGAAGGGTCAGGCTGAGATCACTGGACAGAACCCTGGAGGCGATTTACTCCTCGAGGTTTCCATGGGAAGGAAGAGCGAGTATGGAGAAGAGGAGGAGTGGGACAAACCCCCAAATGTCACTTCTGATTAACCAGGTGCAGGTATCACACAGGTGCTCATTCTCTGGCATGTCCTCACTGCCAACTGAAGACCCATCAGTGCAAACTAGAACTTCGCAGGCTCCAGAGCCCAGTCAAGAGAAAGCTGCTCAACTGAAACAAATCCATGGTATTTCTCTAACACTGGCTACATTGCTCAGGCACACACAGGAGTACCTGGGAGAAGGCAAAGATGTCTTACCATAAATGTACGTTTAAATTAAAGGTTCTTTTTTTTTTCCTCTTTTGAAAAGATTAAAATAAATTTAACTCTAAAGAATAATTAAGAAATCAACAAATATTCATAGAAGGGCCTGATCAGCGCTAGAAGTCGTTTTCAGGAAAGCCTTTATAAATGGATTTCAAGGCCTAAAAAAAAAAAAAGAATTCCAACAGATTATAAATACCAGACATAAAAGGACTGGAAGCAGAATAAACCTTTACCTGGGGCTGTGCACATACCATGATCCTGCGGCACCGTGCTCGAGTCCACTTGTCTAACACCATAGGAACAGCTTTAGCTCTTTTATTTTTATAATTAATATAAAGAATAAGTGCAATTTGATTTCCCCCCGGAGCACTGATTCCCCCCCGTCCCGGCTCACTTGTCCGAGCTCTTGCGGGCCCTGCGGAAGCTGGACATGTTCTCGTTCAGGGCGTAGATCCTGCGCGAGAACTCCTCGAACTCCCCCAGCACCTGCTCGTCGCACTCCACGGCCACGGCGTGTTCCACCGGGATGGAGTTGAAGTCCTCCAGCTGGTCCCCCGAGCCCAGGGCCGTGGCCTCCATGCCCATGATCTCCTCGGCCTGCTCCACGGCGCAGCAGAGCGCGGGGCCGGGCAGGGGCGGCTCCGGGGCCCCCGGCCCCACCGCCCCGTTTATTGCACTGCACCCGCCCGGCGAGGGGTCCCGCCGGCCCCGGGGAGGGGGCAGCAGGGCCCCGCTCTCCCCGTTGAAGCCGCCGCACAAGTCCTCGCCTTTCCCGGCGTTGCCCCTGGAGGAGTCCAGGGAGGTGTCCAGGGAAGAGCTGATGGGCCCGGGCGTTTTCTGCGGCTCCCCCGCGGGGACGGGCTGGGTTAAAGCGGAGCTGTAGCTGGGAGGAGGGGTTTTGTACTGCAGTCTCTCGTTGCCGGTGCTCGTGGCCCGTTTCCGGGGTCCCTTGTCCGGGGAAGGAAGCCCACTGGAGAAGCCGATGTGCAACCTGCCGAAGCTGGAGCTCTGTCTCTTTGGGACGGGGATGGCGCTGGACGTGTGGTGCCGGTCGCTGCAAGGGAAGGGATAAATCACGGCTGTGGGGCAGCTCCCCAGCAAGGCAGATGTTTAACCAAAGGCTGCAGCAGTTCTTTTATCACAACCCCGGGCTCCGCTTGGCCAAGGACTCGTATCCTAAAGTGCTAAACCGCCCCCCCGTGTTTAGTGCCGTGAGAACCACAGAACACGCCCCAGAGGACGACCTCCCTGAGCAGGAGCTCTGACAGAGCCCCACGGTTTGGAGAGTCAATCACCCAAGAAACCACCACATTATGTTAATTCGCACTGTTAACACCGTTTTATAGGCCCAAGCTGCGCTTTATGAATTATTGCTGTTGACTGTGTATTTATGGATTTATGGCCTGTACTGGGCCGTCATAAACTCTTCAAAAGTGAGGAATTATGGCTGAATCCTCCACGAGCAAAGAATTCAACAGTGGACTTCCCTAACAGCTGCTCAAAGGAGGAAAACCACACCAACGTCACTATTTGCAGAGGGTTATTCTCGCCAGACCTTCTGCTTTTCTGTGTCAATCATTCCAAAACTTTTGGGCAATCATCAGCCTCTGTTTCTCAAGGAACACGAACCAATCAAGCTTAATTTAATTTTTGACTTCACTATTTAATTCGGTTCCACAAACCGCTTTCACTGTCTCAGGTTCCGTAATTTGGAACATCCCCTTTGCACCATCTGGGCTGTGTTACGTGAATTTTCCTTCACTGGCTTAATCCTTACCCAAATATAACCACCACCCTACATGCAAATACATAATATGTGCATTAACATAAGCAACCAGTTCATTTTCCTCCAAATTAAAAAAATAATAACAAAAATACAGCTATTCACAGTTATACACATAACTCTGAGATTCAGCTGCTGTCAGGATGAGCCTCCTTCATGAACTCCATTTAAGAGAAACTCCTGCTCAAGGCCTGATACATTTTGGGATCTGCCTTGCAGGGGAAAATCTTGGAATAGCAGTTCTGAGGAGTCCCCAGTGGGGATCCTTTTCCACAGGACTTTTCTTGTTTTGCTGCCCCTTGTAAATAGGAGAAAGCTGATTGCAACGAGTCCCTGTGTGAAGAGTGAGTGTCCCCACGGCAGGGCAGTGAGCAGCACTGCTGCTCTTCCATTTCCTCTCCCACCCCACCTCCTCCCAGGCTGCCCCTTAATTCCTCTGTAGGGCTTCCTTCTCTTCCATAAAACCCTCAAATCACCTGAAGGAGAGGTTGGTTTTCAGGATACACATTTGCAGAAGTGAAGAAGAGAGGTAAGGGCCACACATGGAGGCAGCAGCAAAACCACCAACGTTTCCTTAAGATTCCAACAGCTGCTTCAGACCTTTTGAATGCAAACTCCACAAAGCATTTGCAGCTTCTTCTGTCAACCAACCCCTTCACAATGAACCATTTATTTTTAAAGTGATGTAATGTGACAAACACAAGGATCTGAGGCAGCAGGCTCGTGAACTGTACTCAGGCAATGTGCACTGCAGATATACTGGGGATGGTCTGCTGGCCCTCCCTTCCCCCAGCTCAGAGCCTTCTGCCCTTGCTCAGAAAACAAATGAATACTCTGCATTACTTATTTGATGAGATTCTGTTTATCTTACAGTTAGATGGCAAGTTTTAGGAATTTACCCAAATTCCAAGATGTGCAAATATTCACAAAGCCAGATATCACTCAAGAACACTTCACTGGTTCCAGGGACACATCATCCTGCATTTCTGTGAACTGATTCCTCAGGACAAGTGACAACTGAGTCCTGCAGATCACTGCTCCAATTACAGGACACTCTGCAATGAAGCAGATGGTGCTTTTCAGGGCAGGAGATCTCAGGTTTTGCTGCCTCCCCAATTCCAGATGCTTGCCTTGGACACTTCCAGGGATGGGGCAGCCACAGTTTCTCTGGGCAACCTGTGCCAGGGCCTCCCCACCCTCACAGGGAAGGATTCCTCCCCAGTATCCAATCTAAACCTACTGTCTGGCAGTTTAAAGCCATTCCCCCTTGCCCTTTGAGCTTCACAGCTCATGGAAGTAGTACAAAAACTATGTCAAAAAGGAAGTCACATTAGAAAGCAATCCTCCAACTGCTCAGGAAGTTTAGAGACTGTCAGGTTCTGTCTCCAGTGAGGAGGGCTTGGCTTGCAGAAGCACAGCCCTTTACTCCAAGGTACAGCCTTGACCTGAATTACTGGGGTTGAGCTGCTCCAGCTTCCAGCCCCAATTCCCTGGCCCATCTCCTGAGGCAGCAAACAGGTGTGGATGCCTGTCCACAAAGAACAGCCTGTGACTGGAGGAGTATAAAACCTGAGCTGATGAACTGTCATCAGGCCCTAAAGACTTTCAGTCATCAGGCTGGATGAGACTGGAGCTGGTTACATATATGTACAGTTCCCCTCAGAAAGCAGGACTTCTAAATTAAAAATAAAAAAAGAGAGAGGAAAACCTCAGGTTTATTGGACATTGTAGATAAGAGAATGACATCATCCCCAATCTCAGCGTTTCAATTGCATCCAAACCTCAAAAGCCAATTTGTAGCAGTGTAACTTCAGCTGTAAGTCGTCCTGGCAGCAAAATTACAAAGTAGCTATTTTCTGCCCCAAATGTTAGTTTGCACCAGTTAATAAATAGTCCATTTGGGCATTCTAAGGCACAAGGCACAGCCTGCCCGCTGTAAACAGGCGAGAGAAAGGGACTGAAGCAGGACACAAACATTTCTGAAGTTATTTTCTTAGTGAACACTTTCTGGTTGTTTGCAGTTCTGATAAAAAGCTCCTTCAGTCGGATTCACTTGTGATTATTTAATCTGTCTGCAAGGGGCTCAGAGAAGCTGTAAAGCAGTATGAGGGACAGAACACAATTCACAGGCTCAAATATGTATCTTTTCCTCCCCACAAAATGTTCCCTCTGAGGAACATTACTGGATCACAGCTGGTTAAAATACTAAATCTTGATTGCCTGGCCAAGAGCCAAAATCCACAGCTACAGCGCTTCGGTATGAGAATGCTTTTTAAAAAAAAAACCCCAACAACTTAAACACCATTTGATCTTTTCTGTTGCAAACTATGACCTCATGGCAGCAAGAACGCTAAATGAAGGTGTTTAGGTTGGTTTACAGCCATCCATGAAATGTTTGAAGCTCCAAGAGCAGCTCGGAGCCAACGCCATGTCAACCGTGCTAAAAAGCAATAATAGTTTCTCACCTTCTCAGAGATTCCTGGTTCAACAAGGTACAACAGCCACGGGGAGGCTGCCAATGTGAAGCTGAGGTGAAACTGCATCTTTTGGCAGCCGAGAATTTCTAAGGTACGTTAAAAAAAAAATATCAAATCTTCATAAATTAAGCTACCAGAGATTTTCTTAACTCTGAAGTTTAGGGCTCCTCTCGGTCCTAGCAGCACATGAATCAAGATGCACCTTCAAAACACAAATTCAAGCCTTCAAGTATTTTTGAGAGAAGCCTTTAAATGCAACTCAAAAGGGCATCTCCCTGACTACAGACAAGCCCTTCCAAAGGAGTATCTTGTATTTGCCAGCATTAGACAAGTCTGTTGTCTGTTCACCAGGAAAAAACCTCCTCCCTGGACTGTTCAAGTTTGCAGAGAGCTCTTTACTTGTTAACAATCACACTGTCCCTCAGAAGTTACACAGAGTGAAACAAAAATAAGCTGAAGAATAGGAGAGAAAATTAGTCAGTCTCTTGATTTGATGCAACCATGATCTAAAGAGTCTGAGCCTGTGAAAGGTACACCTGAATAAAATCATGTTAAAAACATCCAGGAGGTTTGAAAGGAGCTTCTAAAAAAGAGGGAGAGCAATTTTTAAGCAGGCAGAGAGTGATGGGACAAGGGGGGACAGTTCTAAACTAAAAGAGGGTAGACTTAGATTATACATTAAGAAGAAATCCTTCCCTATGAGGGTGGGGAGGCCCTGGCACAGGTTGCCCAGAGAAGCTGTGGGTGCCCCTGGATCCCTAGAAGTGTCCAAGGCCAGGTTGGATGGGGCTTGGAGCAGCCTGGGACAGTGGAAGGTAGGGGATTGGAACTGGATGATCTTTAAAGTTTCTTTAACCTTTCTGTGTTTTGGTCTCAAAAGCTGGAATAAATTGCATGCTCAGAAGAATTTGAGAGAGAAATTGCACAGGGCCTTTTGCATCTGCAAAAAGCTAATCTGAAAACTGAGCTGCTTTTCTGGAAGCCAGTGAAACCCCAGGACTAAAAAACTGGACACGGAGAATTATTCCCAAAAGGAAACAGAAAAGATTCAGGGCACCACAACCGAGACAGTTTAAATCAACAACAACTTTGGCTCATCATCTTTCACCTTCAGATTCAACATGCAGGTCTGATGTCAGGAAGGTCCGTTTCTGCAGCTCTGTAGCCCCTGTAACAGTGTGAGGGAACCAACAGATCTGTCTTGATTTTGTCTCCATCCAGCACAAATCATATTTTGCAGTAGGGGTAAGGGGGGAGAAAAGTAAACACAGCGGGACATTGGTGCCAGGAGAGACATGAAGAGGGAAGCAGAGCTTGTAGACCTGCAAGCTTGCTGCCATAAATCACACGGGGAGGGATGTGAAAACACGGATTAATCATTGCAGTGTCATGCCTGAGGAACCAAAGCAGCACAGATCTCCCCAGGCAGAGGGATCCAGCCAGCAAACCTTCCTGCACAGGCACTGGGCTCTCAGCCCTCCCACAAGGCCAGTGCTGCCCCAGAGACTTGACAGCCAAATCTGCTCTGATGCACAAAATAGGGGGGCTCTTCTACAAAAGCTGTTCAGGGTTGTGTTGGTTTGTTTTTAAATCTGAAGAGGTAAAGAAACTATTGTGTACTTCAAATCTAAACTGATGCTATCAGAGCAAGCTTAAGCCCGAAATAACCATGTATTTCAGTTACACTGAATATCTCAGGGGTTCAGTTCAGTCCAGCCTGCAGAGAAATGCAGATGTCTTGAGTCAAAAGCAAAAGTGAGCTCGATGCACGGCTTAGGAGTTAACACCAGTTCTGTTCAAGGAGAAACCCAGTCCAGTGTAAGTATTGGTTTTACCAGCTCATGATGGTTTGACAGAACTGGAATTCAGCAAAGCCCAGCTCCGGTGCTCAGAAAGGGAACTGAGGAGCAGCAGCAAGACCAAACAAACCTGGCAGTGCAAGGGAGTACGTAAATAAAAACCCTCCCGTGTCCCTGTTCTCATCCTGCAAACCGAGGATAGCCTGGAAATACTTTACTGACTCCAGTTTGTGACACGGGGTATCAGATGATTCACCTGCAGTACCCTGAAAACACACAATTCCTTCCAGTCTTCACTTTAACAGCTGGTGGCTTTGCTGCTTGTTCCAGCAGAGGTGGTCAGCTGTTATCCACAGGACAGTGGGCATCTGTACTCTGCCCAATTATCAAAGTCTAGCCAGCTTTCCCCTCGAGCTGTAAAGCCTCATTTCCATCTAAATTACTAGGAAGCATTAAGGGCATTGTTTGGAATCCTTAGCCTTGAAAAAGGAAAGGTTAAAAAGGAACAACTACTCACACTAGGTTTGGAGGTGAGAAGGAAATGAGGCATAGACATCCATGGGTGAGGGGAAGGAATGTGATACTCCCAGAGAACTAGGCTTAATATTCCTAAACGTTTGGAAGTATTATCCAGCCAAAAAAACGTGCTTTGTGTTGCTAATGACTGTGCATCACCTACAGCAAACAACAAGAGGGTTGTGTGATGGCAAAACCTCTAAGACAGACTGCCCAGGCTAAGACAGAATAATACAGAGGGTGCCCCTGCTACCAACCATTAGATACAGCCTTAAGGCACCAATTAACTCCTCCCCTCCCTCTAGTGAGGAACATTGCTTTTCACACAGGCTTCCCCTCCTACATCAACCTCTGAGAAGGGCTGTGGGCCCATCCTACAGAAGATAAGAAAGCAGTGGAATATTGTGGCCATTTACATGGAGTGTATTTTGGGGAAGTCCCAGTCTCACCAGCTTGTGAAGAGGAGCTGCTTGTTTGTGACATATCCTTACCTCCAAATATTTTTGTAGCATCCACCTCTTTATTTTAATTACAAAAAAAAACCCCAAAAATATACTTACCATCTCACCATTAGCCCAATCTCCATGAAGTTTTTCAGGTTGGGAAGAGTTTGCCTTAGGTCTGGAGTACTCAGCCCATGCTGATACCTAAGCTGCAACAACAGAAAAAAAACCCCTAAAATCAGCACAGCTTTCCAAATCCCACAGAACATAACACCATGGTCACTTAATTTACTAGGCTTTTAAGAAAGTGTGGGATGATTATCCAGCAGTTCCAAGAGATTTATTCCTCTTAAGGAAATGTTCCATTTAATACTTGTATTAGCAAAACCCACCCAAGAACAGGGACAAAATAATCAGTCAATCTGAGTGTGAAACCTCCTTCCCCTTTTTCCATTTTCTGTCTGTAACAGGAGCTTAATGAAAACACAGCCATCAGGGGAAAAGACCAAATTTCAGCACAACACTCTGTGTTCACTAATTCCAAACATTTATTTGTGTGCAAGGGTCACTTGTCAGTCTCAGTGTCTGCTGGAATCAGTAGTGGAGTTGTTACAGTAACACCAACCAGTAAAAATACATATTGTCACACAACTGATGGAAATCTCTGCTCCTTATACAGTTTATATCAACATTTTAAATCCCATAATTAAACCCAGCATTCAAATCAGATGCCACGTAGCAAAGGGAAAGGTTTCAAACGCTGACTGACTTTAACCCCAGTATTGACTCCTCTAAGTTGCTTTTCCCTCCAAACCTCAGATTATGACATCCACATGAAAACTGTCACTGAAGGGAATTTCTCTTTGCAGAGAAATTTATCCCTGGTGTTGTTAAAATATAAACAAACGTGACAATATAATAACATAACTACATAAATACAAATATAAAATATTTAATGTAAATAAACTGTAACTATAAATAATAAATATAAATATAAAAGTATAAATATAAACAAACAATACAATACATTTATCCTTTGTGTGGTTAAAATATAAACAAAAAAAAATCTCTAAATTCCAGTATCTTTCAGGCTATTGGGATGAAGCACTACCCATTTAATAAGGAGGTCTCAGCAGAGGTTAACACCCTCTAGAAGTCCCAGCTGGCCTCCAATACACACACACACAGCAACTGCACGAATCCCATGCTGCTTGAGCTACCTACTGAAACATGGAGAAATCCCACTCCAAGATAAATTCCTTTAGAATTCCACACCTGTTTCCAGAATTCCTGACAGTAAGCTGCAGGCAAGCATCCTCTAAGCTTCCAAAATTTGACTCCTCCCAAACAATCAGTTTGTCCCAGGAAAAGACGCCTGAAATTGGGAATGCTTTTTCTGCTCATCTGAGTTTTAGAAAGAAAAGTTACTTTGGGAGAAAATCCCCCTCAGTCCTGCACTGTGCACCAGGAGGCCATTTATTCCAGGTTATTATTTCCACATGGACACAGCCAAGTCATGTGGTGGCTTGGACTCATACCTGCTGCTACAATGACAGAGCCTGGATTGAGACAACCATACAACATAGATTACAAAACCATCACCACGCTCTCCTGATGGGATTACACTGGATTTGGTTTGCCAAAGAACTCGCCTGGAGCAAAAGAAATGAAGGAGAAAAAAAAAACCCACCAAAATCAAAACCTTTGCATTTGTTCCTCCTCCAACAACCAAAAGTTCATAGAATAACCATCTTTAAGTTCTAAGGTTTTAGAGCATGAAAGGATTGGATTAAGGGCTCTCTCTCTGTCCAACAGCCAAGATCAGAGGAATGCATGGGAGACTCAGATTAAAACATGAGCAAAGCCACTGTTTCTACTAAAACACATTTTCATATAGCTGATAGTAGAGTTGCATATTAAGTAAAGTGAAGGCATAAGTTCTGTGAAACCTCTAGAAAAAAAAACTCTGCTTGAGGGTTGTCAGTCCTCAGCAGTGAACCAGCTCCACTCTGAGCATCTCTGAACCACCACTCCAACCAAGCACCTTCCAAGGATTTACTTCATCAACAGGACTTTTGTACTTCATTAAACTCATGCCAGACAAGGGAAAGCTTGCTGCCTTCCTACAGGCAACAATTCCACATTAAAACCTTCATTCATCCAATCCACCAGATCCCTCCTTTGTGAACTAATTAGAACCCAAACCTGCAAAGGTTCAGTCACTCTCCTATAAAGTCCATGAGAAGGACCAGAACTACTAAAATTTTTTTTCAAGCAAGTTGGCTTGAAAAGAAACCACTTAGTTATCTTGCTATTTCTGGGTAATTGTAGATTGCCCCCAAGATCAGAATTAGGGGTTTTGCCACTCTGGGGCTGCCTTTTAAGAAAAATACCGATATCCTGCGTTCATGTGCAAAGAACAACAGCCCGTTTCCTGCCCTGGTCCCTGGGACAGGTTTAATGACTGGGGCTGTACAAGCACATACATTTACTTTCAGCCAGAAACCACAGAGTACCTGGACTGGAATATCTTTTTTTTTTTTTTTTGGGGGGGGGGAACGCAGAATGACTCCAACTCTGAACTCATCTGTTGATCATTTCCCATATTGCTTCCCCAGCCGTGTCCACCCTGCTCTGAGCCATGTGGAAACAGTCGAACAGCTCAGAATACATTATTAAAGTTCAAAAGAGCTGCCCCTTCACTACATGTTATGCATAACATTGAAGCCTACGCCGAAATCCGCTGTATTTTTGGACTTCCCCGTGTCTCTGCACTGGTCCTTGATGTTGCAGCACCACCTGTCCCCAGGCAGGAGGAGGACCCAACCCACTGCACCGTGCACAGCTCCTGCTCTGCTAAGGCAGTCAAGAGCAATTTGGAATGACTTTCAGCTAAACGAGGAGTTTCTCTTGATAGCATCGAGAATTTCAAAAGAACATCTGCTCCACAAATGTGAAAACCTCCAAACAAAAATAGAAGCAAAAAAGTGTTCTTTCAATCGGCTTTGCAGAGCTGGTCACCAGCCAAGCATTTACAGGAAGGTTTGCAGAGGATGTCAAACGCTGGGACAGAAATGTAAAATGTAAGTTTTAATAAAATGACATAGTTAATTGTTTTACAAGATCCTGGATGACTTTTCAGAGGATGAAGGAGCACTGGCTGGGGTTCAGATGACTAAGCAGTGCAATAATGGAAACAGAAAGTGTTGTTACAACGCCTGTTGCTATACAAACAACCCCGGGGCTCCGTGAAATAATGCCTGCTGCTATATAAACAGTTTGTGTGTTTGTACCTTTAGGGGAAATTATAAACTCTTAGATTATTGAACGCTTCACCTGTTGCTTGCCTCTGTTTTCCTGGAGCTGGGGAGCTGTTCTAGCTCTGAACACCTACGTGGTTCTCCTGAAAACCCCTGAGCTGCAGCATCAGTGAAACACGTTGTGGTACAGAGCACCTCTTTAGAGAACATCAATCTAAACATCTAACATTAATTTTCATTTCTCATACTTAAAAAGACTGTCAGCAAACATCAAGCACAGTTTGGAAGTAAACACCACCAAGGGGGTTTTTAAGTTTTCTTAAGCTTCTTGGGGAAGCAGGAGGGGAAAAAAGCAACATAACAAGCACTGTGATTATAACAAGTCTTCAAGTCCTCAGTGTTGCTTTCAGAAGGAGCAAATCCAGGACTGCCCCAGCAGTGACAGCCCTCATCCAAGCAGCAGGAAGTGCTCAAATACAACAGCTATTTTAATGGAAATTATGACTTATCTTGATATGTCAACACCTGCCTCCTTCCTCCAGACTTCCACCTGAAAAGCAGATGTTTACTTTGCAGTTCTTTCAGAGTACTAAACCAACAAGAAAAACAAGTTACTTCAACATCCTTGAAGACCCGTGTCCTTCATTAATCCACAGGGCACAGGCTGTAAAGTTCCCCAAGCTGACCCAGAGTGCCTAAACCTTCATTAAAACCACTGTAAAGGGCTCCACCACAGCTGGGATTTAGCCATGACAAATAAGGCACACAAACAGCACAGGAAGGAGACAACTGCACTTCATCCTTTACCTTCAAAGAGTGCTTACAGTCACACTGGTGTTTTTAAAGCATTCTTAGTCTAACCTGGCCTGGTCTGTCCTGCATTCACAAGGCAGAGCTGATATCAATAAGATACTTAGTAAGATACTGTCTGTGTGAAGCCATTCCCCCTTGTCCTGGCACTCCAAAACCCTCGTCCAAAGTCCCTCTTCAGTTCCACCTGAAAGGTGGGGAAATACATGCATGAAATCTAAGTACAAGAGGGATTCAGCACTGCCCAAGGAAACTGTATTCTCATCTGATAACAGAACTAATTCCCTTTTACCTTTTTTGGTTTGCCACAGAATTACATTAAGCAGCTTCTTCCCCTCACCTCCACCAAAACACCAAGTCTGGTCTTTATTCAAAGCCAGCAGCAGCCTCGATGACAAACGCTCAACAACTTGTGACATTCTGCCAAACATTTATGAAGGGGTTTTCTTCTAATATTTAAAACTGAAATGGGATAATAGACAATATTTAACACTGGATTTTGGTTTCACAGCAATAGTGTTTATTGGAGATAGACCTCAAGAAAACAAGGAAATAGGAGTACGTGTTTGAGTACATGTGGAACACACTGGAGAACTAAACACTCAGATGAGCCAAAAGCTGTGTTTCCTCCAGGACTCTCTCATGAAACCCTTGCTGAGAGGGAACTCAACACCCCTCCAGAGAGGTCTCACACATCAGCCTTCGTGCTTCCAGTCTGGTGTCCCAGTAAGGATATGGGGACCCAAAAGACAGGCTGGGAGAAACAGCCCCTCACAGAAGTGAACTATTCCTGTAAAACTTGGTGGTTATGGGGCCTGTCATAAAAACCAACGGATATGGGCCCCCATGCCCATAAAGGTGCCTCTCAGATGCCATGACTGTTTCATAAAAAAGGACATTAAAAAAGGCAATTTAGAAGACAGAGCAGTTACTGGCCTCGAAAAGCTTCCCCTGCTCCCCAGTGAAGCACTGAAATAACTAAAACCACGTTTACTGCAGTCTTGCTGCATTTATAGCTTGATAAGATGAAACTATAGAGCATAACCTTTCCAGGTTCAGGTCAGAGCTTCTCAAAAGGGCTTGGGATCACAAAGTGATGTTTATTGGATTATAAGACACTTATTTCCTATGACCTCATT